AGTAAACATCTTGGGCATGAGTAGCCACATTTTGGCTCTCATGCTGTGTGAAACTACAAATCCCATAAGCCACTGGAAGACAAACAATTACAGGCCTGACTTCCAGAGGCATTTGCATAATGGAATTTGTAGTTTCATCACAGCCAGGTGAACAAATTTTGGCTACTCCTGATTGATTGGATATTCATGCACTGTTAAAGCTGAACGCCAGTTCCATTTTATGTTTATATGGTGGAAACTCCCCCTTTCCACCATGTTACAAAATATTTTCCAATTTTTGCTTAATCTAGACATTAGTCATGTTATTCTGACCATGTACTAGGAGCCCAGCCCACCATTTACACATCCCACAGAGGGCACATCATCACACAGACTGGGCTCACAGTACTCCGGGACTGAGCAATGCTCAGTCTAGGAAGAATGCCCACCCCTGCCATAAGAGTAAGCTGCTGTGATGTCACCGCTAGAAGACTGCAGCACAAAGTATGTATAGGGTCATTTTTTTTAATACCTGGTGGAGGGGGCACGGGTTAAAGGCTGGAGTTCTGCATTAACATTTGTCCTATTTTACATTATGGGCAACATTACATTTACCAGCCCAGACCATGTTTAAATATGTAATAATCCCCCAATTGATTCCTCTGATGTTCCGCCATGCTCAGTCCTCACACCATTGCCCAAGTCTATATTTGCTACACATTGAATGCCACATGCACCCACGGCCATTATTATTACACTGGAAAACATGCTGGGAGAAAGCTGGGCATTGAGGGCAAATGTGCCTACTATAAATATACCCCTTATGTGTATCTGACTAAGTTTAGTGGTCACAACTATGGAAATATTTCTTGAGGTTGAGTAGAGCAATTAGAGGGTGAACCTGTGTTCACTGAGTGCTGCTCTGCAGGAAATAACAGGAGGCTAGTATATAGACAAATGTAAGGGATTAGCTGCCTTTAAAATACATTGAACATTTTAAAACAAATAGCTAATTGCTTCAGTTAGTGGGCTTTTTTTCTTTTTGTATTGGCCTAGGGTTGAATTTTAATTATAGTGGCCACCATCTCATCATAAACTGATATGCAGAAGTGGTTCTGCACAGGTCACACATGTTCAGTTCCATTGATCTTTCTAATAAATGATATATAAATAAGATTTTCTAGCCATTCGTGCTTGTCAGAAGAGTTCCTTCTTTAGAGGATATTGGATTTGGTGTCACCGAAGAAACTAAAAAAATACGGGGTCATATCATCTGTGTAGATATCAAAGCACAATTATAAAATGCCTGTAGCAAATTTCTATGTCATCCATGCTTAGTCATGCTGGAACAGGAAGGGGCCGTCCCCAAACTCCTCTCACAAAGTTGGAAGAATGATATTGTCCAAAATGTCTTGATATGCTAATGCCTTAAGAGTTTGCTTCACTGGAACGAAGCCCAACCCCTGAAAAACAACCCCACGCCATAATCCCCCCCTCCACCAAACTTTACACTTGGCACAATGCGGTCAGGCAAGTACAGTCATCATGTCAACCAACAAACCCAGACACGTCCATCAGATTGCCAGACAGAGAAACGTGATTGGTCACTCCAGAGAACACGTTTCCACTTCTCTGGAGTCCAGTGGCGACGTGCTTTACACCACTGCATCCAACGCTCTGCATTGCACTTGGTGATGTAAGGCTTGGATGCAGCTGCTCGGCCATGGAAACCCATTCCATGAAGTTTTCTACACACTGTTGTTGTGCCAATCTGAAGGTCACACGAAGTTTGGAGGTCTGTAGCTATTGACTCTGCAGACAATTGGCGGGTTGTGTGCACCGTGCGCTTCAGCATGCGCTGACCCCACTCTGTCATTTTACCTGGCCTACCACCCATCCTTTCACAAATGTTTGTAGAAGCGTCTGCATGCCTAGGTGCTTGATTTTATACACCTGTGGCCATGGAGGTGATTGGAACACCGGAATCCAATGATTTGAAGGGGCGGTCCGTGTGTGTGATTGTCTGTTATAGGACTAGTAATGCAAGTACTCCCACAATTCAAAGCTTCTAGATTTCTATTGAGGATCTAATCCTTTACAATAACCTGACACACATCGAGATTTCAATGACTATGTATCAATCACACCTTTTTATTTTTATTTCATAAAAAACGTAAGTGAGAATTTTTTTTTTTGCTGCCTACATATGTTTGTCTTAATATAAGCACTGCTCTATGAAGTATTGGAAGTGCAGGCACGGGGAGAAGTGGCAGAAGATCCCAAAATGCCATGTGACCAGCCAAAAGACTGCTTGATATAAGTAAGGGGTATTAAAAATAAATAAATAATAAAACGAATATGCATCTCAACTCAAGAGCAAACATATTTGGCTTTTTTTGCATATATCCTACATTTAGGCAAAGTGAAAGCTCCCAACATTCATCCCTAATGGCAATATTGAGGCACTGAGTGAAGAGCACAGCCACTGCCAAGGACCTCTAACTGATGTAGGCACAGACAGCAAATGTCCAACACCACTGCATGCAGAAAGGATTTTATTGCACCTACTGTAAGAACGGACAGGCAGGGGGATAAGAGGGCAAGCAAAGTAGCAATGGGGATTTTGCCAAAGGCCACAAGCAAATGAAAGTGGCACACACAACCAAAAGTTTCTATATCAGCATGACCTGGGTTGAATCTTGGCTTGTGTGAACTGGTTTACTCATCTATAGAGGTCACCAAATGAAAGTTTGGGGACTATTTATAAAACAATGGGGAAAACAAAATCTCCACAGAAATGCAGCATTGACCCACAGTGTCCAATCACACAGCTTGCTTTATTTCCCCAGAGACTAAAATATGGTAACTATAAAGTCTAGTTGTAATCCATGTCTGCAGTGTAGAGCATTTGCTGTATGTTGACATTGGTGTTTGACTTTAACCCTTTGTAAACCAGCATTCCTTCTCATATCCACACCCAGAATGAAAGTCAAATGCAGGAAAAGTGAAAGTGTATCTTTATTATGAAGCAACACAAAAACTTGCAATATCATTTTCCTTTTCAAGCATCAAATGGGACATAATCATATAGCTACCCTGATATACGCTTGATCTACTTTGCTGTCTGTAGTCTGTGATATATAGGGACAGAAGTAATTGGACAACAGAGACTGAAAGGTGTTACCGTGCTGCTCCCAAGTTGCACAGTGCCAGATGTCTCCCATATAAAGTAGCAGCCCGTGTTATTGGATGTCTTTGAATTACCTGTAGTCCGGTTCACAACTGCAGTTAATGTGTTTTGAACAACAAGTTTTAACTCTGTCACTGCCAGAGGACGTGCAATGTGCCCTCTTAAAGGGAATCTGTCAAAGAGCAAAAAACCTGTGGGAGAAGTCTCACTGGAAGCTGCAATTCTCCAACTCCTAGGCTGGAAACTAATTCTGCGCCAGCGACAAAATTGAGTGAAAGGTTAATTTTCTCTGTCCTAGAATTAAATTGCGACTCTGAAACGTGTGAATGAAAGTTCCAACCTGAGGCAGCACAAAGAGATATTTTGCTTTTTTTTATGTTAAAGTTAAAGATGGCCATAAATGGAAATATCAAAGAAAGATGGGGGGTGAAGATTAGCCTATGCCAAAGAGATCACAACAACCATTTTCCTTGACACAGCTGAAGAAAGGTTGCCATGCATGTGCACCAAATGGTGTGTGCCCTTCTTTACAGAGCAGAGGGAATGGATACATACAGACTCCCTCTCTCAGCCTCTGATGCTCGGAATTGCCATTTTATAAATACTCAATGTCCACTCATTGCATACTATGGTCACTGGGTACGGTATGACCTCCCAATGGCTGCCAACGGCAAGTAACATAACGATAATTGGGATTTTTGCTTCTACATAATTTTAAAAGGGGATGTCAGCAATATGTCTGAAAATACTGCTCCCCAAAAAAACACTCTTACTAAAAAATGTTTTTGTGTGTGATAATCTCCTGAAAATGGTTCATAGTAAACCTATGCATCTTATGTCAATGGGATTTACATAAACCAGTTTGTCTGTCTGGCTGTTGCATGTTCAAATCTTATTGGCTGTTGTGGCACATCACAGAGTCTGTCCTCCCCCCTTTAATAAATGCAACCCAAATAGACTTAAAGTAGTATTAAGGTCTGGGCATTTTTTACCATAAATAATTCTCAGCATTAGGGTAAAAAACAGCCCAGCACCTTCCCCCCCGTCCTCCCCACACTTACCTGTCAGCTACACTCGTCCCTGCCCTTCCTGGTTGCGGGGAGAGGATACTGTTGGCAAAGGAGCAATAGGCTCCTTCTGCCATCAATCAAATTGTTGGGCGGAGAGGGGCGCGGTCTGCCACAGGGCTGTGTGTGTCTATGGACGCACACAGCCACTGTGGGCACGAGCATGCACGGGTGCCTCCATTAGCCGATGGAGGCACCCGTGTAGGGGGCAGGGGAAAATTGCTGCGGGGACCCAATAAAAAAACGAGGAATTACAAACTTTTAAAGAAAAACGGCAAAAGCCTCAATCAAAGGTGGGTCTCCTTGTAGGAAATATTTAAAAAAAAAGAAAGGAGGCTTTATTATCACTATAAATAATAGGGCTGATATCCAAAAACTGGACCAAATGAGAGGTGATTGTTTCCTACATCAGTACCAGCATCCTCGCATCACCTTACACCTAATTGCATGCTTGAGGCATCTCCTCCACGTTTCCTGCAGATTTGGTACATTACGTAAAAAGGGGTTTTAATCGAATAATATCTGACATTAAAAAAGTGTGTTGCCCATAGCAACCAGCTCCAGGCTATCATTATTCTAGGTATGATCAGACAATGAAAGTACTTGACAAGTAGTAATGGGCACCTGATGCACACTCTCCAAAGACCGCAGTAAACTTTATTTCAGCAAAACAGTTTTTAATCCCATGAATAGGATTTCCATTGAATTCATGAATTTTAACATTTCAGTTTAAAAAAAAAAAAAAAAAAAAAGAAACCCAGAAACGTATGGATTGAAGCTTATTGCGATTTATACACAGTATTGTGAAATATAAAACAGCCAAGAATGTTGTCAGCTGCTTCCATACATATTCTGGCCACAGACACACACCCACAATTCACCCGCTATTTAAATACAACCGTGTCCAACATGGCTGCTAAACACTGGACAATATTGGAGGTCATCAGCACATCCACATGTTCCTCCAAGTGGCGCTTGGGATCCTATAGAGAGGGAGATAATAGATGAAATTATATAATAAACATTACTAGCAGTACAGAGTACAAAAAGGGTTATTTGAAGCTTTGACAGTTATTGAACTTAGAAGATCTACATTATAACAAGTGATGAAGGCACACAAGTTAGAGACTCCATAAGAAGTCAAACCAGGATCAAGATGGCAGCCATGGAGCTTTAAAAAGGAAAACTCTTACAGAAAAGCCAAATATTGTTCTAAAACAAGAAGCTGTTGATCAGACACCAGTTAACATGTTTTCCCTCCTTCCTTGCAATGGCATACATATATATTCTATAGGCAGGACACAGAAAAGACGATACCATTATACCATTAAGCCAAGTTTTGTTCCTCAGGGTTTTCGGCCCGATGAGCCATGACATGAGCAGCAATATTCTGCCTTGTAACAGGGGTATGTTATATAACAATTTCAAATACAAAAAAAACGTAGAATTCTTCCTAGAAACTGGCCACTCTCAGATGGAATCCTGAGCCATAGATCTTCTGCCTTTAGGAAGAAAATAAACTTTTGCTAACTGCTTTAAACATATTCCACAAGAACATGTCTGAGGTTATCCTGATGCTAAAAAAAAAAAATGGAAATAGCCCATTGTAAAGAAAACAGGAAAAATTTAGCTGCGGTCCAAATGTCGCTGTGTTCGGAGAGAAGCTTGCTGAAGAATCTGGCACACTACAGAGTATGTTGTATGCATGGTCCCCCTCTTTGCTCTGTGGTTCCTTCTGGTGGTCCCTACGTTACCAATGTGTCTTGTAATGATGTAGGGTCCAGCAGATGAAGCCACAGAATGCAGTGAGGTAACCAAGGATCTGACACTCCTTAATGCAGACACTTTTTGCAGCAATCTTCTTCCCTCAACACAGTGACGTTCGGCACCACAGACAGTAGGACAGGTAAGCTGTTTTCTTTGTAGGAAGCTCATCTGTTCAATTTTTTCTTTCCTTTTTTAAACGGGGACAAATGCTTTTAAAGTTGAACTCCAGGTTAGGGTAAAATTTACCCTCAGTGAGGCACCTCGCACTACAAGGGTTAAATGCTCATTCTGTCTTGTGCCCTGGTGCCCAACCTGTGTTTGCAGTGCAGTCCATGGAACTCGGCACTCCGTAGTGGGAATATTGATTTGCAAAGTTGTTGAGTTGTAATGGCAGTGATCTCTAGCAGTGTAACATTTCCCCATTCTCTGTCTCCTGCAACATGACTCCAGTCTCCAAACACTTCTGTAGCACAGTCTCTGACAATATTCTTTACCAAGTCTACAATAGTCTTCTGTAGCATTACATATAATTTAATATGCGGCTCTTCGGCGACGTCAGGGGCCACATTAGAGAGGCCTCGCCTAGACGACAAGCAATGGTCTAGTAGAATAGGGATAGGCAAAAAATAAGCCATTTCACAAAAAAGTGGTCAGCAATTTGCCTATGCATGCATTTCACACAAGTTTGCACAGATTTTCACTTCTCACACAGATGATTAACAGCATATAGTGAAAAGCTGGCTGCTCAGGTGACTGGGAGACCTCCACCTACATATTGGAGTGGTAAATATAAAGGGTTACTATACAATATCTTGTGCAATGTGTGCAGCCAGTTTTAGACTAAGTTCCTCTGTGGGTAGTAGGTGCTGTGAATAGCTTCTGAAAAAAATATCTATACGAGTAAAAAAAAAAAATGTATCTGATTTTAGATCTGTGAATAGGAAAAACACCTTTCAAGGCATGAGACAGTTATGGGACAACCATATCAGACACATTTACCTGTTTCCCAACATTCTTTATAGCAAGTTGCTCGGGGGTCATCTTATCTTCTTCCTCTACAGCCTGTGTACATAGAAGAAAACAAAATCATTAGCAATGTTATATATGCCGACACTACGGGGACTATTAAATAAGGTAAGGAGCTCTTCATAGAAGCAAGTAGAAGAAAGGATTTACTGCTCCTGGTAGAAAGAATATTCATCACTGCTTTATGCAGAGAGCATATTTACCCCAAAGTCACGGCTCCATATAGACGGCACATATACCCAGAAGTCACTGCTCATACAAAGCACACATTTACCCACAAAGTAACTGCTCAAGGTAGAGAACACATACACCCCCAAAGTGACTGCTCCATTTAGAGGGCACATATACCCCAAAGACACTGCTCCACGCAGACAGCACATATACCCAGAAGTCACTGCTCCAAACAGACAGAACATATACCCCAAGGTCACTGCTCTATGTAGACGGCCAGGGCAGTTCCTATAATGAGGAGATCTGGGCAGCCACAGCGTCCCAGGTTGTTAAGAGCACTTAGCAAGCTGTGACGTTCTGACCGGCTTCCCGCCTCTGTCCAGCTCACTGACGTCATCGATGACCAGAGAGCGGCGAGGGACACTCTGGCTGGAGTCCTGCCGAGCTCCTGGCAACTAGTGAGAGTCAGTGAGCTGGGCGGGACCGGACAGAGCCGCTCACAGCACTGCTCTATATAGCTGTTTCAGCCCTTCCCAACCCGCAAAGCAACACCCATCCGCTGCACCTATCTCCACTGAATCCCTTTGCTCTACTGCCTGACACGGCATATATGGTAGGGACGGCCCTGTAGATGGGCACATATACCCCAAAGCTACTGCTCCGTGTAGAGCGCGCATATAACCAGAGTTTAATGCTCCTTGCAAAGATCACCTTTAACCAGAAGTACTTTCCACTTGTAGAGGGTCATATTAATCCGACATTCAGAACAGAAAAAAAAAATTATATGCAAAAGACAGTAACCAACCTCCCACAGAAGACAAGATGTCCGACATGAGAACCACATGTACATGATCATGAACTGGAACACCAGAAAGTCTGGCTTTGTCTGTTGGCCATAATTACATGCTAATTGGATGCGCTGCAGAGACCATGTAGTGCTGCTTGCAGTGGCCCATTTGGTCTATTTATAATCTGTAGCATCAGCACCACTATCCAACATTTTCCTTATTAACAGTGATGCATGTCCTAGTATGTACTTGTCATTGCAACACTATTGCAATACACATCAAACCACTAGTTACACCCTATAGTAAGATGTTATTACATGCCAATAGAACAAAAGGGCATGAAACAAATGAAACTGATGTACAAAAGTGTATGGCACACATGGACATATGTATTCAACATGCAAATGGTCACTGCCTCCACAGATATTACAAAGGCTTAATCAAGCATTCTATTATTACAACCTCTCAGGTTTAATGAAATAATAATTTCATATTAATTAAATAAGCCAACAAAGCGCTGGCAAGCTCCTCCTTCCCTTTTCTTATATCATTTAGGCTTTTGTTTGTGTTGTGATATGGGAAGGGGTGGGGTAGGGTAAAACATTATTAATGATTGCTTTAACATGACAAACAGGATGCCAACAAATTGTAAATGAATATACTCTGACCCCAAAGTCATTCAAACTAAACATATCGACAATGTAATGGCTGACACCCACCACCCTCACTGGCAGCAGACATTTTGAAAAAAAAATATGAAATGACAACACATGCTAGAGGCTCCATTACTAATCAGTTCCCACTGTACGGCGACATGAACTCCCCTCTGATATATGTAAATGGGATTCTGTAATGAGCCAACTAGAAAACCAGCTTTGCATTTTTTAACCATTGGAATGCTAAAGTATGCTAATAAAGTCATTCAAGAGCAATCATAATAAAAGTGAATTACTAGACAAATAAAATGAGAATTTGCTCTCTGCTGCAAACACAGAAAATTCTGCAAAGACAGAAAAATACCTGTTGATGTTGCTAGTGAGCTTCTAACTTCCTGTAATAAGCTGACATAGCTGTCACTGCTGCACTAAATTCCAAAGCAGCGTTGTCAGCCCTGCCCAGTTCTTCCCTACTGGACTACAGACCAACCCCTTATGGTATCAAAATGAGCAGAATGGGAGGTCTTCTGTGGTCCAGCAGGGGAGGGCTCTGAATACTTGGAATTTTAATGGAGTAGAGGCGTAATTCTAAGCTCACTCCAGGAGGTTTTCCTGCAGAATCAACAGGTATTGCAAAGATGTAGAGAGAACTGGTCTTTCTTTAGATTTATGACACACCAGCAGTAGCTACCAGTAACAGGATTACTATAGAGGGTAAAGAAACCATTTATCTGTTTCAATGGCGTAGTTTCCACGCTGGATCAATCAGAGAGACATTGCTCCCTCACCGGCAAAAGTAATTCTACAGTGTCTGGGCCAGCTAGCATGACACAGCAGAAACAGGCAAATGGTTTATTTGCCCTCTACAGCATTCCTCTTCCTGGTAAGTTGCCACCAGCGAGGATCTCTAGTGTGCCACAGGCTTTAATAATGATTGTCATATGATTTTTATAACCTGGTGCATCACAAATCAATCCTCTGACCCCACTCATTGTACATGCTTTACAGCCTCACATGTGTACAGGTAGAATAATTAGTAGCCGGAAGTGCTATTTAACTCATATGCAGAAAACTATGAATTGCTGGTGGGACCAAGGGACAGAGTTGAGATATACAGCCACAACCTATAGCTCACCACTCTACTGCTTCTTGGGAAAAACAAATATCGGACTATTGCTAGTGAGATAATTTTGGAAACTATAACTGAAGCTTTGGGAAAGCTGTATGCAGATGAGGCTGCAATGTAGGTAAGAGAACCCTGTGCTGCTTCTAGGGTTAGTAAACTAAAAGCATTCCGATTCCATGGCAGCAATGTCACCACAATGATTGTAGCATGAGAATGGTTCTCTGAGATGTCACATTCATTTACATAAAGCTTACCATAGATTTTGGCAGTAGCTGTTTTACTACTTTTTCCTTTCTTCTCACAAGGGAAATGCAGAGATTAACATACACAGAAACTGGGTGTAAAAAGATTAAGGTCTTTATACACAATCCATTTCTGTTCAGTATTTTTGTGAGTTTCCTCTCTAACTGATCTGAGACTGAATGCATTAGTGTGACCGTTGTTCGCATATCCACTTTGCTGACTGGTGGGATCGGATATAATCATGTCAAGGTTTCATGAAAAGTGCAGACAGCAATTCATGGAGGAAGGAGGATGCTTTGGTATCCGACACTTCCAGGTGTGTCAGATGCTGCATTGTCCACTGTGTGCTGTGGTTTCATCTGCTACTGTGTCTTGTAGTGATCAAGTTACCATAGTGCACAAGGGGAGACACAGCATCAGTCACACCTCGGAATGCTTGATACCAGCGGCAGCTGTAGCTTGGCAAGTTAGAAGGCTAACCTGTCCAGACAGCGTTACTTTCACAGCCTGGTTTAGCCTAATTGGTCTGAAACCAAGAATCCTGCCAGTATGCATTTTTTGGGGTTCGTCTAAGGAAACTTTAGCAATCTGTTGAAATCACCGAGGAAACAACTCAACTATTCACCTAGATGAAATGTAACAACGTTTTAAAATTAAACATAATAAAATGCCATGAATAGGTATATGGGCATCTAAATTTAAGGCTAAATATGTAATACATATAAGAGTGCACATCAACATAGATATAGAAAGTAACACTGTATGCTGCACTTCAGTCACCTTGTTGTAGTTCTTTGCCAACTCCAGCATCTCTTTCACCACCGTCTCATTGAGCTTACAGTGCTCACTGTAATCTTGTAACGTCAGACCCTCCATCCAACTCTTCTTGTGTAAATTCAACAGCATCTGCAATATGAAAATGATGAATCATCCTCACTAATCAAGGACTATATTCTAGAAAACAAACATAGGTTAGCTTAATAAAGTCTCAGGTATGCTAATATTGATTAACGTATTATCCGCAGAAGATAACAAACTGAAGAAGTGAAGTAGATCATTAGCAGTGAAGTGTTGAGGAAACAGCGTAGACTGCTGTGACATCCGGGTTTTGTTTTTTTTTCCCTGACAGCCACGTTTCTAGCACACTGAACATTAAATGTCTTTATCTATTACAGGAGGAATCCTGTCAAACAACTCAATGTATAGTTAAAACATATAGAAAGAAAATGTTATCTGACAAACATGCTGCATATACTCTTCCGATGCACCCAACCCTGCTGTGATATGCCTGCATAGCTTGAAAAGGGCTATGAAAAGCGGCTGCATTGGCCTGCAGTGTAATCCCTCCACACTGGTGATACCCACTCTGATCTGGTTCTTACCTAAAAGCCCATCCAACTACCTCTGCCTTCCTACCAATGTGCCACCATCACTGGCAGACTGGCTGACGGCTTCACCTTCTGTAGTCCATAGGGATGGAGCCTTACAGCCACTGCTCTAAAAAACTGCCTTTCAACACAGAAGTAACTACTGGACATTGTGTGGCAGACAGCACCAGGGAGAAGGTGATTATTGCAGCAGAAGCTGCATTTTTGTGTTAGGGAATTTAAAAATGTATTAAATTTAGAACCTGGAGATAGGTTTTAAAGCAAATTTGATCATCATTTTTACACTTCAGAAGTAAAAGTCACCACGAGCTGTCTGCTTTTACCTTAGAAAAGCTTCCAGCAATAAAAATGAAATCTGAAGAATTCCAGAACATGAGTAGTACCAACACATAGACGTTGAACACATGAAGGACAAGATTAGAAGCTTACTTTCTGTTCCAGTTCATTCTTTCTGTAGTTGATGGTAATAGAGTAGTAATGCCTGTTAAGACCGTGTATTAATGCCTGGAAAAAATATTAAACAACAAACTATTAAAACATCAAAGAGTCACAAGTGTAGATACATAGCACAGATGGGTTAGGCCTGTGGTTTCTAATGCAAATTCTATTGATTATTTTTTTTAAATCTCAATTTACTTTATCTACATCATCTAATTAAACCACAAAAAAGTGAGCCTTATCTTAATGTTAAGGACCACACATCTTCTAGAGGTTTTTTCCAAGCCGATGAGAAAAATGACTGACAAAGTAATGGTCTAACAGTTGATAACTTACATTTATAGATTATGCTTTCGAATTCTCATGCTATGCAAAATAGCGGGGCCTTTACAGTCCACTAACAGCAAACCATCTGACCATCTCTTGCAGTGACTGTGAACCCTTCAATTGCCCAGTAATGGCCAAAGGTTTCATAATACAAATGTATAACACTAAAACACCAACTTTAGCACACAGTTTCTGAATGTTATCTTTGCTATGCAAATAGGGATACTCTACTCAACACTGGTTTAATGGTCCCATTTAGGTCATGGCTCCGAACTTCCCTAAGACTCTCTGCTCCTGCCGATATCCTGTAAGATTTCCGAAAAAAGGCCTGCAGAGAACAGATAGCCTTGCCTTGGGAGCACACGCTAGAATTGAGGTCAAGTGGATTCAATAAAAGAAAAAAAATCAAATAACATTATCATGGTTAAAAATACTTATGTTTCACTAATTGAGATTAAGGGAATTATATGATAGATTACAATACAGAGATGGTGGAGAAGTCTGGTGATAGCTCTACTTCATGTCACCACTGCTTAAATCTGCCTGTACAAATGACAACAGAGTGCATGTGCAGGATCTCAGCATGGGGTTGACTTGATTGACAGCCAGGTCTCACCCCCAACCTATGTGGACCATAAGAACATGGGGGCAAAAGACACAGTGGCTTAGTGGTTAGCGCTTCTGCCTTGCAGCACTGGGGGTCCCTGGTTCGAATCCTGCCTATCTGCAAAGGAGTTTGCATGTACTCCCTGTGCTTGCGTGGGTTCCTTTTGGGTACTCCGGTTTCCTCCCACACTCCAAAGACATGCTGGTAGGATAATTGCCTCCTCTCTAAATTGGCCCTGTATGTGAGATGGGGACCTTAGATTGTAAGCTCCTTGAGCGCAGGGACTGATACAATTATATAAAGCGCTGCGTAAATTGTTGGCGCTATATAAATACCTGCAATAAATAATAAGACAAAACAAAGGTGCTGCTACACAGTGACAAAGACAACGATATTTCAAGGACTGTTGTCCAACAAGGTAATGCTTGTAATAAAATAACCTGGAGCACTGGGCACAGGATTGTCTTAAGCTTAAAGAAATGTAAAACCTCTGAATGAAAAATTAGCTTATAGCTAAAAGGGGATAAGCTGGAAGATGGAGGAAGCCAAACACAACCTTGAAATTAGGTTTATAAAAAAATATGCAGTATTTACAATGCATGTAACCTAAACCACACTTTAAAGTGGAGCTGCACTTTAACCTAGGCCCCAAAACAATTCCTAATTGCACACATCAGCTGCAAAACAATTCCTAATTAATTGCACATAGAGACATCACAATGTAGCAAATGTGCTTTTTTTTGTCTAAAAGGAAAAAAAATAAAGAAAAAAATATGGATCAAATGACTCCATATCAGTTCTAGAGCAGAACTATCGGCATCTCTAAGAATCAACAATTACCGTAACTAAGAAATGAAGCTAATTATTTGAAAGTGGCAGAGGCAGATTGTTATGTTCAATTAGTAAAAACCAGAGGCAGAGTGGGACGAGTTTGCCCTGGGGTCGAAACACAAAAGGTCCTTAACCCATATAAAGAAATAATGAAGGAGGTAGATGTTTATGCTGAAGGTCACCAAACGTTGGCTAAAGGGTCTGGAGTGCTCAATTCTCTGGAAACTTGCATGTATGGACTTGTCCAAGCCCAGGCATAAACAACTTAAAAAAAAAAAAAAAAAATATTGCAAGATTTTTATACTCGAGTAATGATGATTCTATACTAGATATTATTGACGTTTTACATTAAACACAGCTGGACTTTCAGCCCATGTGCATTTTATTTGCGGTTTGAAGAGAGTAAACAAAAAAGATTAAAGACTTTAAAAAAAAAAAAAAAAACATCAAAAGGGACACAACTGGTGTTGGTGATAATATCTGTAAGAACAAACCACAAACAAGACTGCTGATGCCACAAATCCCCAGACAGTGGTGTCCAACTACAACAAAGCAGGTCTAGAATTTCAGCTTCACAGGGGAAGCTACACCTTGGCCTCAAAGATCAGGTTTTGAAGATAATCCAACAGCAAATGCTTGCATTATCAAGTGGAATTAGAGGGTTGCAGTGACCGTAGCTGTTTAACTATATTATTTTAGGGGAAACAAATTAAATAAAGCAGGTAAAAAATATAAATAATTAGCATTCTTGAAATATATGTTGTGGCAGGTATCTTGGCCTAAAAGGGTTATGTATTACACTCTGAGCTTTTTTTCATAACTTTGAATAGAGTAGAACATAGATAAAATCCTTTTTAACGTGGCAAAAAAAAAAAGGAAGAAAACCTTACTGCCACTGGAGAGATTTCCCTTTACGTCCTGTTCTGTAGACACAGCAAAAAGTGAAAAGAAAGCTCTACAACGTGAGGGATAGCGATCACCAGAACAAGTGACCCACTGAAAGATTTCCCCTCTAATCCTCATCTGGTGACAAGTCTACATTTTTAGAAATTGGGGGATTTGGGAACTGAAAAAGGGCCAAGTCATGTTTTAGACTAGCCACATTATATATTTATAACAATGTACACTTGCAGCTGTGACTTCTCTCTTCTTAGATTAATGTTGCTATGTCTAGTAATGTAATGCTTAAACGACACCCTTGGTACAGCTTACTATTTCTGCATGTTGTATACAAGTCAATTGTACCCTTACCTGTATGGATGGCTTGTTTAAGTGACCAAGATTTGAAGTGGTTTGCCTTGGTTCATGTCCCAGAACCATCATGTTGGCATTAATTAATCGGAAGGCATCAATAACAACCTGAAGAAAAAAAAAAAAAAAAGAACATGTCAACTCCTTATTGGATATAAGAACAGAACAGCAGTGGACATGCATGATTGGCTCATATCTATGTTGGCATTATGCCCAACACTCATTTAATTATAATATTAATAAATAGGACCTCCTGCCGATCGAGCCATCAGGACATTTGTGTCTCTCTGGAAGCAAAAGTAACACCAATTATTGTTTTTTTCCTGCTATTAGGGAGAAATATATTTATGAACAGTTATTTATAACCCAAATTATGTATTGACATTAATGCTTTCCATAGATCTGACACCTACGTACCGGCCTATCTTCTTCAATGTCAGGAAGAGGCTAAACATTAAAGTGAGCACCAGCTAAGGGACCGGGTTTACGGCCCAGACCTGTCACTTCAATTACTCTAGAAAGATATGCAGAATGACAAGGAAATTATACCCAGCTAGGAACAAATCAGATGGCTTTCATAAGTTATGGCCAACAACGTCTACCTGCTGACAATCAGTTTTTCATAAACTCTCCCTAAACAGGCTGAATGGTCCGAGCAAGCCCACACAAGTATATAAATCAGGAATAAAACCTCAGTTTGTAACTGAAACAAGAAGTCCATCAAAATATTTATGTTGGTCCAGGCTGGATGCAAATAGAAGCCTTAGGATTTTCACCCTCTGGGAGGAACTTGGTGGAGACATTTCTATACCCATGTTCGCAACTCCACCAACTTGTCAGGCACAACGGACCTGATCTACTAAAAAAGGGACCACTGCATACTGATGCTACCTCAACTATGAAACCCTATGCTTTCAAAATGTATTATTCATCCATGCAAACATGGAATTATTTTGACAAGTGCAATATAGGAGTAACCCCATGTCAAGTGTGGGCTATTGTTAAGGGAATTAAAAAAAACAACTTATTTTTAAAAGCATCAGAGATCCATACAAGCCATGTATATAACATACATATACATGGCTTAAAAAATCCACTTGTCCGCTCGTCTGACGAGAGGACGGTGGAGCCCGACGAGCAGCTTCCCGGCCGGCCGCCTGGGAGCTTTACATTCAAGCGATCGGGCGTCTCTAGAGACGCTCGATCGCTTGCATTAGCAGCTGTCACTGTCGGTCCCGAGATCCGCTGTGCCAGATGCAGCCGCGACAGCTCTGTGACAGGAGATCAAAGGGAGTTCAGTATACGAACTCCCTTTGATCTCCTCTCAGTCCCCGAATGCAGGAAGTGATGTAGATTACATCACTTCCTGCATTCAGTGTCACTCTCCAGCTACAGAAGCTGATGTAGCCGATCTCTGCTTCATCAGCTTCTCTGGGGGTCCCTAGGTGACATTAGGGGTCTTGGAGACCCCTGATGTCTCCATAAAGAGGACCTGTCATGTAAATTGGCTATCACATAAGGGGCTTCTTAGCCACCCATGTAATAGCAATGAAGCTGTGTGTAAAAAAAATAAAAAAAATAATGTAATACTAAAATTAAAGAATCATAAAAAAATAAAGCATAAAAATTAAAAAAAGAAAACATTTTTTTAAGTCCCAGCCCCCCACATACACACGCAGATATGCGTTGGGTGCGCCTACGTGCGAAAACGACGATTGCGCCTATTGTGCTGCACATGTTAAATATCACCGCAAACGTCTGAGTGAGAGCAATAATTTTAGAGCCATTAATCACTGATAATACTAAACTGATGAACAGTAAAATAGTTTTAATCGTCGCCTGTGGGCGTTTTTTGCGATTTTGTAAGTGCATGCAATTTTAGGCTTGACATGTTTGGTGTCTATTTACCCGATGTGACCCCGAATTTTATGTTTTATAAAAGACAATCGCCAGTTTTACAGAGTTACTAATTAAAAAAATTAAAATTAAATAAAATAAAATAGAATAACAGGTTTTAAAGCTAGCATTGAGACATAACAAAATGTTGTAGTTGTTTGTATCTTAAGAAGTCCATCGGATGGGTGCCCCACTTGTCCTTCAGA